ATTGCAACTTCCTGCTCTTGTTTTGAGAAGCTTTAAGGTGAGCTGCAAAAGGTTTATTCCGTGCGACAAAAAAACATCTGGAAATATTTGCAGGATCGGCCGACCCTCATAACGCTTATAAGAGCAATAAGAATTGGCCGATCGAGGGCGCATGGCGGTTGCGTTGCTGCGCCATAGTCAAATACCATTTTGCCTGGGGTTCCGTCCTCATCTCTTCGGCACATCTGCTGACGAATTCTGATAACTCTAACACAACCTGAAAAAGAAAGCGAGTCAAATCGGAAGAAAAAAGTGCGGAAAGGTTGGGATAGGGCCGAATCGCACCAAATCGGTACTCAACAGGGAGCCGCAACGCAACCGCCGCGCACCCTCGATCGGTCGATTCTTATTGCGCTTATAAACGTTATAAGGGTCGGCCGATCTGAATCGGCAGGTCCTTCTGAAGTATGGATACACCCTAAGAATCGGCATATTGAGGATGCGCAGCGGTTGCGTTGCGGCCCCCTGTTGAGTGACGATTTGCCACATTCGGCTCTGTCCCCTTCCGTACTTTTTTCTTCCGACTTTGACATTTCTTTCTTCAGGTTGTGTTAGAGTTCTTAGAAGTCGTCCGCAAGTGTGCCCGAAAGGTGAGTACGGAACCTCCTGCAAAATGTTGTTTGACTGCGGCGCAGCAACGCGACCGCCGCGCACCCTCGATCGGCCGATTATTGCGCTTATAACTGTGCGAGTCGGCCGATCTGAATAGGCCGATACTTATAAAGTATGGAGATACAATTATTCGCACCCCATGATATAATTTCTTGCACATTATGCTTTTAATATCCTCATCGCAACGTTCAACATCAGGTAACTTAAAAGCCAATAATATGAGCTTTGTTTAGCCATTTCCATTTATTTCAATTTTTTTCGTAAAAAAATTCAATCCTATCTGATCTTAGAATTGCTATAAACATTAGAAATGGTTGCAAAAAAGACTAAAAATAAAGGCTTGCAGTTCGTATACCTCCCTCATTATTACGAGATTCAATTGAGTAGGCCGAGATTCTTATCCATTCGTGGCAGCATACTTTATTAGCGCACTTGCTCCACAACGATGTCGAGTGTTAAAACTTTTAAGTTGCTGCAGAAAGAAATCAAACCAAACTTCGAAGAAGAAAATGCTACACAGTGAGAAGCTGGGCTGACTGCAGCTAAGATCGATCT